TACTTAAAGTAAGTTTGTTAAGAGCTCTATATCCCTTCACTGGGAAGCAAGTGCAAAGCTATGAACACTCCTAATTCCCAGCACTAAACCATACAGCCTGTAGTCATGTCTGGAGGTCTGTAGTATAAATAATCTTGGCAATACACGTCTGATATTAATCAAGCAGACAGACATATTGCTATTTCTAATAAGGCTTCCTTTTCTCCCTGCATTTTTTTCTCACAGCTGCTTCATGCCCGCTATGTACTGCAGCTACTTTGTGAAACTAGGAGGGTTCTGAAGGAGATGCCAAATATCACCCATCTTTCAACTTCCTACTCCAAGGAGATAACTGTCTGTGGTAAGGTGCCAGAAAAGACAACCACTTATGGCTACGGGTTGATATTCTAAGTGGTTAGAGAGGGACACAGGCATTTCCAAATGCTGCCATTTCAAGACAGAAGAAGGTTCTCGATGCTTTCTTTTTTTTTTCCTTTCCCCTCCCCTCCCCCCTAAATGCATAAATTGGAACAAACAAACAAACAAAAAAAAGGTTCCTGAGTCACACTAAGTATATTTTAAGAAAGTCCCTCACCTCCTCTTTCTTTTTTCTCATTAAACATTTCTGAATGAGTCAGTATTAATTCAGCTAACACTGCAGTGTAGCTTAAATATTCCTGCACTTGTTCTAAAATGCCACCAAGAATTTTGATCACTGGCTGCAAGTCTTACTGCTTTCTCCTCTTACTGAGAAAAAGACTTTACTATCATAATTTACTCAGTAATGATTTTAATGAGGGCTTAATAGGGGCGGCAAACAAGACCTTTCATTGACAGCATGACTATCTAGAATAAATTGAAATTATAATAAACCCTCATTTCTAAAGGGACCCAAGAGGATGGATCAGTCTTTATATAACCAACAAATTAGTCTCACAGAATGATGTGATGTGTCACAAGGTAAAGAACTAAGAGCTCATTGCCCATCTATTTTGTTACGCTTTTGTAAATTATGGATAAAGGGATACAATAAACTGACTTGCCACAGAATGCAGTAGCTGCAAAACAGAACAGTAATGGTGACATTAACTCTTGACAGCTAGCAGTGTGTGCTGTGTATAATAGTAAAGTGGTATAAAGAAAGGTACTATGGCACATGCAAACAAAAAAAAAATTATTTTAAGATGTGGTTATGTACCTACTTTGATTGCCAGGAAAGGGTTTGTTTAAATAATGTTTTATATAAACAATAATTTGTTAACCAAACCAACAAAACCTCCCTGCAAACCAAGGAGACACAGATTCATACCTGTTCGCTACAGTGTGTTCTTACTAAGCAAAACATACCTCCTCATGTTTGTATTGCATTTGCAATATGTAAGCAGCATCTAAAGGGGTCCCTTTCCTGCCATTGAAACTAATAGCTTTTGTAACCAGAAAGATCCTCTGCAGAAGATGAAAAATCAATTTTTAGACATAATTGGTCGAAAATGTTGGTTTTCTTAAAATAAAGTATCCCTATCCCCATTTTCTTTTAATTTCAAATTGGTGATGCAGATTAAATACGCACCTGAAGTGTTTGCATCCACATACATGATGAAAATCTATTGTAGCTTGAAGGATTCCTTAGAATGACTTCAACAGGCTCAGAATTAATAAAAAATTGCATGGAAAATGTAGTCAAGGTAAAAATGTCACTTCTCTTTTTCTACTCGTTGGTGGTGAAAGCATATAATCACAAGATAGATTTTGAAACTGTTCTGTGTCTTTGTGGTGGTGAGTCACAGATGTGAGAAGGTTGGTTCTGTGAGCATGGAATTCAGTCACATGCAGAGGGGAGCTATGCTGCAGTGATCCTTTGTGTTGGGGTGAAATTCCCCTGTCTGTTCCGATATAAACCTCTCAGAGAGGGCCAAACCTGTCATTCCTCTGGCCTTAGCACTGAAGCATAAAAGCATGGACAGTTCTTGACACTGTCCATCTAATCCTGCCTGTAGTAATCAAAACCTGGCCCTGAATCAAAAAGGTGTTCAATTGTGCTGTATATCTGGGCTATTTAGTAAAATTAAACCTGCTAGGTCTAACTAATTCCAGTTTTAGAATTCCATTTATAATTACATGCATCCTTTTTTTTTTTTAAATAAAAAAAAAAGAAAATTATGTTTTTGTTTCCCATAGGAGATTTGCATGGAAACCTGGATGATCTTTTGCTGATATTCTACAAGGTAAGTAGTCAGTCTGTAATGTAGTGTTTTCACTTCATGACTTGTTAAGAACACGTATTTATGTCTCATAGATTTATCAGTGTTAGAACTGTACATGCAGTATGCATGTACCACACACAAATCCCAGAACAATTGGAATGGTGTCTTTGTTATAGCTTTTCTTTCTCCATATCCTCCTGCTCACTGTAAAGGAGGAGATCCAGGAGATCTTTCTCTTCCGAAATGTTGCACTGGAGCATGAACCAAAACTTCAGAGGGTTCCTTGCAATGTCTCCAAAGTCCTGCCACTGTTTTATATTCCATATTGACTGAAGTCTTCTAAAACCAGCAGCTAACTTAGTTCATGATGTAACACTACACCAGAGATAATTTTGGCCCTCCAGAAAAAATGCAGAAGCTTTCATTTAAGCCTTCCATTGATACGTGCAAAGTGTTTTTTATTACTATTTGTTTACAGGAGACAAAAAAGAGTGCTGCCTGTTTAAATGCTTTTTAAGTGTTGGAAGCAATCATGTAGCCTGAACAAAATGGAAATACCTTGGGCACCCTTTACATATCCTTGAACAGCTGCTCACTTTGTAATGTTAAAAAAGCATAGCTCTGTTTTACTGATGTGAAAAAAATTAAGCTCCAGGCTATCTTTTCCACAGTTGTATACTTAACTGAAGATGCGGGAAGTTTCCTATACTTACGTTCACATTTATCTTTAGCATGAATCACCACCTTTCATTTAGCAGATACTCTCTTTGATTTGAGCTTTCCGGGGGAAAGGGTTTGTGTCTGATCCTTAGACATTCATCTGCACTGAATGGAGACTGAAGCGAGCTAAACCAGGTGTTTAAATGATGTAATTCCCCCGTTTCCAACTTTGTTACACTTCTGATACCTGTTGAATGGAAACTTGGTTGTTTTCCCCAAGTGCATAACTGAAGCCTGTTGAAGTATAATCAGACTTTTTTACAGAGTTCTGCTTTTCTTATTAATCAATCAATTACGTTTAGCTGGTCCTCGGCTTGCAGTCTTTTAGCTGTTATTTTAATTAGATAACCTCTGTGTTTGAAACTGGAATAAGAGCATGGTACGGATTAGTTTCATACACAGGACCTGGAAAGGAAAAAAAGAACTATTTTGAAGATAAATGCTCAGATGCAGTTGTATTTACAACTGCAATCAGCCTGAATTTTACTTTTTTGGAGTAAACAGATGATTCTTTTTCCCCTCTCTAATGGATGTTATGAAGAAAAAAAAGAAAGCCCTCTAAGCAAGGACTGAATCCTAACTTCAGTAAATTCAGAGCCAAAACTTGTACTGGCTTCAGGCACTCAAGTTTACCCCCAGTCATTCTCTGTTCTGTCTTCTAGGAGAGAACTTCCACCAAACCAACTAAAATGGGCAAATATTTTGTCATTTCAAAGTCACTGAGAAGATAGAGAGCACATGATAGAGCTGCTTAGTTGTTTAGAAGCAAATTAAATGACACAATATTTTCTGTCACCTCTGAGCAATTTACTTGGCCGAGCAGTGAACCCCGTCAGTGGCTGGGATCCATTTTTTTCTGCTTCCCTAACTCTGTTGCAGTTAGAAGGGATTTCTTCCTACAAGTTGGTATGAACCACCCATAACCTTAAACAAGAGGGTACAATACTAAACAGTGCCGTGAAGAGTGTAGTGATCTCAGGCCTGCGCAGAGCTGTGCAGAGCTGAAATGGTTGCTGAAGCATCTTGGAGGCTGCAGGCAGACCGGGTGCCTTGAGCATGGGGCTCTGTCCAGGGAACTGTTATCACAGTACTTTTACAAACTGCCAACAGCAAACACACGGAAGCTGGCAATCTACAGCTTATCGATACAATGCTGGTTGTAATAGTGTGTATAATTCTTAAACCTGGTTTGGGTGAGGCTAAGATAATTACTTCTTTCTCAATAGCCAGTTTGTAAGGTTCATCCAGTCCCTGCATTAATCTCCATTAAATTACAGCATTTCCTGAAATTCCTTGAAACCTTTGAATTTTAAATTATGTATTGCTAAGTCAGATATTGTTAAATGGATGCTATGGATAGAAATAGCCTGAAGCTCTAGAAAATGTGAACAACAAACGGAAGTTAATTAATCACTAACCCAGCAGATACAGTAATGATGCCCAGCAGCAAGTTGCTAATCATTGGAGGGCCTTGTTCACCTCTTTGACGTGTCAGAGACTGCAACAGCCTTTAATTTAGTTTTGCTCTTATTGTTCATCAAAACCACAGAAAAGGAAATAGAAACTTTGCATGAGTGTGGAACAAAACTAAAATGTCACATTGAAGTTGGAAGTCCAAAACAAACTCTCATTTAAAACTGAGAGTTGTGGGTAAGCTTTTCCAAAAGAATGATTGATAGAATTTGGAGAGTGCTTCAGTAGATCTGTCTTTCCATGAGGACTGCAGTTACGGAGTTGCTGCATGTATACTGACAATCTGCTGATGATTCACATGCCTGTTGGTTTTAAGGCAAAGCTTTTATTAATTCATTTTTCCAGGAGCTGTTCCACTCCTGAAATCCATCCTTTCTTTTTTAAAACCACTACAACACACTGCTATTAGCAGAATCTCATAAATTGCCACTCTTGTGAGCACAGAGCAACCACACACCTCTTAAGTTAACTTGGAGAGAGCTGGAGAGAGGCTATGGCAAAACCCAAGCAAGCTGTATTTACAGCAGTCAGGATTGTGCCTCTGTGGGCATCAAAAGACTGGAATTCACTACTGCATCCCGACATAACAGTGCAGGACACTGATTGGGGCAAAAAAGAGATTTCCTAATGGATTCAAATTAAACATTTAATTGAGTCTCTCACCAAATCATGCATCCTGCAATAAACCTGCTAAGACAGTACACCAGGGAATGCTGTAGGAACATAGGAAGTGCTGGACACTGACGCAGTAGCTATATTCAGGATGTGCATGCCAATTGTGAAAACTGAGGTTTCCTTTTTTTCTGGCAAGTCAAAATTGAAATAGTATTTCTGATACTCATGATTGGAAATAATGAAGCTACACATAATTGCTGCTATACTTTCTGAAAGCTGATGGCACCCATTGACATGTTGATAACTAATTTAATGAAACACACTGTCAGTTACAATACTAAATCACCATTCATAATAAAGCATTGCTCTATATCTTCAGAAAAAATAAGGTAAGAAATATGTATGTACAACCTCTCAGGTTTGTGAGCGTTCAAGTATATTTTTGCCCTGGGCCGGGGCAAAGTGCAATGTGAGTAAAATTCAGTTAGTGCTTTCAGGATTAAAGCAGCTGGAATCAAGGTTCTTCAGAGTTCTGTATTAAGATTTTATGTCCTCTGGACTACAGTCTTTCTTGGGAGTTTTAGAAGCATACACTGCAAACAATGTAAATCTATGAAATCCCACTTCTTACTGCATAAGGAAACATAAGAACCTTCAGACTTGTGTCACAAGATCATTTTTCATGGATTTCTTGTCTTCTATTCAAAATGAATGACTCCTTTCTATTTGCAAATGCATAACGTCCTGGCAGCAGCTGCATTAACAGAAAAGTATATTTTATTAGAAGAATAATGTTCTTATTGGTCCCTTTCAAATTAATTTAATAGATAGAGGAAAGGATTAGAGATGGCATCAGAAGAAGAGCCAGAGAGGTCATCTCTTCTCTGATGGCTCATACAGGTTGTCTGATACGGAGATTTTTGTTCTAAGCAGTGGAAATAAAGAAATGCTGTGATTTAGATCTCTGTATTGTGCAGGGTTTTTGCAGATTTTCTAGCAATGTGATCCTAATTTGAAATGCTATTTCCTTTATTACAGTAGCGTAGAAGCATCTCGAAATGTCCTTGGTTTTGTTTTCTTTTGCAGAACGGTCTGCCTTCAGAACAAAACCGATATGTCTTTAATGGTGATTTTGTTGACAGAGGGAAAAATTCTATGGAAATACTTATAATCCTGTTTGCATTTCTTCTTATCTACCCCAATGATTTACACTTGAACAGAGGAAACCATGAAGACTATATCATGAACCTGAGGTAGATTTTGGGGGGCTGAGGAGGGAGTATCTGGTCTTTCGCTGGAAATGTTGGGGCTTTTGAATGCTGCTTTAGCCACTCTGACATTCTAAAACAGACATAATGTTTTATTAGGTATTCAGGTGTAGCTCTGCATCTTCAAGATATGTGAGGGGGCAAAGAACATCCTCATTATACACAGGCACTTGAACAAGAGTTATGTCTTGTCTCTGACCTAATCACAATCCATTGAAGTCAATCAGCTTAGCGCAACTTCCAGAGTACCAAATCTGGGGAAAGAGAATGGATGGAAGGACGATATATTAGTTAAAGCATTGGCTTTTTCCACAGCATAGCAAAAGACATAATAGTACACATTATAATGGACCCAGTAAAGCAGAAGCTGATATTTCACTTAACTGTAGACAAAGATGTTACTTTTGTTGCGGATGGAGTGAGGCACTTCACTCGTAAGAGAGAAGCAGTGGAATATTTATTGATGTAAAACAGCAATTTAACAAAGTTTGATAGTAAATGCAGCAGTGTTTTAACAAGATTCAATGTCGAGGCATGCTTGGTCATTTACTGCATAGAGGACAGGGTCAGGTAGAACTGTCAGGGAGACCCTCCCGTTGAGTCACAAGGTTCAGAAGGGACCCCCTTGCTTTCTAAACTTCTCAGGGACGAGTCTAGGTGTGACTGGATCCAATCCTAGCCTCAGACTTGGTCAACGGTTTATGTCTAAAGGATAATATATGCACAATCAATCCTTTATATCACTTAGCTAAGATTTCAAAGTTTAGCATGCTATAAACCACTTACTGAGGATCTGTTGTGGCAAGGACTCTCTGAACCTTGAGGAGTAACCTTGAGAGGCATCCCTACCCAAGGGGAGATCCTGGCGTGCAGCCCACTGCCATGCAGGAGAGCGGAGAGGGGTGGGGGGAATACACCACCACAACTTCCCAAACATAAGGGGTGAGTAAATATCCTAGCTTCTATACAGTGGACATCCATTAGTTGAGAGGTGGCAGTCTGGCCCACTGCAGGAGCAGCCAAGGCACTGTTTTCTAATACAGACATTTGTATTCAGCTGTGCAGCGCTGCCAAAGGAATGAGCACAGCCAGTGTCTCAGGCTGTAGTGAAAGTGCGACTTGTAGACAATATCATCTCACAGACATGAGAACTCCTCCTCAGTCTTGATCCCTACAATTCTAAGTTGCCCCAGTAAGTCTTTGGGTGACTGGCTGGTGGGTAACTTGTTGTACCCCTTCAATCATTTGCATACAGAATATATTCCTATTTTAACACAGGCATAAACCTAGGTTAGAGGCCTGTGTTCAAATCCTATTAATGATCCATGTAAGAGAATCAGTTTCACATGATAATTCCTTTTTCAGTACTTAATTAAAAAAAACCCAAACCCACATAAAACAAGATCAGTTACTTTATCTACAAGGCAGGAAAATTCCCACCCAAAATAGAGGAAAATATTAACTAATTCTGTGATGGTTTAGAGTGCAAAGATGCATACCTGTGTATGGCTTTTTGCGGGGCATTTTGATAAGCTGTGATGCTCATAGGTAAAATTGAAAGCTCAGAGTTAGGGTGTTGTGAAAATGCCCCATGCACCAAGGATATCTTGGTGTTAAAAGAATGAGGTATCAAAACCCTTGTCCTTTGTGGGGGAAAATACATGATAAACGACACTGTCTAATAAGGTGAGTGATTTAGAACAAAAACTCTGTGGAGGTTTTGTGGGAATTTTTGCCCATCATCAGTTATGTTCCTTTGAAATTTCTTTCTGGTATCTAAAACTATTTCATTTAGGTGGGAAAAAGGCCACTTAATAATTATTCATCTGGATTCTGTTCCTGATCTCTTGTATGTACAAGAAATCAGTTTAACTCAATTTTTGAGACAGAGCAAAAGAAAGCACATTTAAACAGAGGTGAGGCAGAATATCAGGAGAAAAAGAGGGATAGAAAACTCTACAGAGTGGCAAACACTATAGAATATCATGCAGAAGGGGCGTACTGGAAACCAGTTCATGATGTTGTCCTGTTTTCAGATATGGCTTCACAAAAGAAGTTTCAAAGAAGTACAAGGTAAGATTCCTCCTCCTTGCCCTGTATTTTCTTTGTAGTCTTGCATATGTAAAATGAAACCAGTGTAAACTAGGAAACTTCCAACCAGTTTATTTTGGTTTAGACAGAATGTAGTTGAAATTATTTTCATTTTTCAGTGGAATAACTGGCAAAACAATTTTAAGTGTTAGCCTTTTATGCTCAGAGATCTATGGGATGAAATAAATAACATTCATAAGGCCACTCAAGAACACAAAAAGACGTTCATGTGAAAGGAAAACGAAATGCTATAGAGACAATCAACTGGCCCTAAAGTAAATGTCAGAACATGTTTGTCAGTGTTGCAGTTCAGGGTGTCACCTCGATGGAACTCTTCACACAGGCTGTGGCAGACACTTCAGCAAAATCTTGAACTTACAAGCAACAGCATCTGCCACAGATAGGATCTAATATAAGAGTATGTTTTACAGGACCATGGGAAACAGATTTTGTGTCTTCTGCGAGATGTCTTTAGCTGGCTTCCCCTCGCCACTATAATTGATAGCAAAGTTCTAATCCTACACGGAGGGATTTCAGACACCACAGATTTGGATTTCCTGAATGCACTTGAGAGAAATAAGGTAAGAGATCGTATTCATGTGGAGGTAATTTTTAGTTCTTTAAAAAATTTAGCAATACTAATGCTAAGATCAAGTTGTTGTTTGCATTAGGAAAGGAAGTGGCTGCTGTATAAGGCACATAAGGAAAAAAAGAGTCTTGTTTTTCTTCAAAATTGGTGTTTAGGAAGGAAGGTTTCAGTAGGAGTTGAGAGCCAGTTGTTTGACTGCTGTAAAATAGCATGGGTTTTTTGACTTTAAAATAGCTAAAAACACTTTAGATAACTCCTTCCTGCCGTGATGACGCATTAGCCAGAAAGTATGAAAAGTACTTAATCCTCAGGCATTTCTAAACACTTTAGAAATCAATCTAGACACATCTTTTTAGCACCACTTTTTGTCCTGAGGCTCTGCTTCTGCCACTGCAGTGTGGGGGAAGTTCTCCACCTGTGAGGCACTCCCTTGGCAGCAGCTGAGCTTGGCACATGTGGGAGAGCCTTTCCAGCAGGATCAAACTTCAGGACCTGGCCTTGAGAAAACAGAAACTACTGCTTTTCAGGGATATAGGAGACAGAAACATCCATATTTTTTTTTCTGAAATGGTGAACAAACACAGCTCTTTCAAATCAGTGGAAAATGGTGTGGGATTTGGTCAAATAAATTGATTTGTCTGCTTGTGAGGGGGATGCTTAGGTTCCTTATAATCAATGGAGATCCAGGAGATCTGGTGGAGATCCAGGTCTTATCATTGCTCAGACAGTCTCCAGTGCTGTTTGTGGAAGCACCCCTTAGCCGAGGGATGACCCCTCTGGCTGCCTCTGGAGAAAGTCTTCTTTGCAGGTCTCCACCTGCGAAGGTCTGGTTCATATCTGCCCACTTCATGCTAATTCACAGACATGGTAGAGCATCCCAGATTGCACAGGATACATATGTTTAAGCAACCTTGTGTACCTTGTCATTAGTGTCTGGAATCTAGAGCTATTTCTCTCATCCTCATGTTTTCTAACACAGAAAAAAACACTTTACAGGACAGTCAGGTGTATCTCTGTTTCTTAAAGACGTGAAAAAGGGCAATGAATACTTCTGTTCATCAGAGTCTAGGCCCCATTGGCTATACCACTGTACACTGAAATTGGGTGCCTAAATACAGCTGTACATGTCTTAACTGTGAGCTGAGTTCTGTCCATGCTTCCACTAAGGCTGGGCTCAGTGTGTTACTGATGCCGTATTTGTAAAATGCAGAATTAACAGGTCAAAGTTGCTGCCACAGGAGAGCGTTGCTAATGAGACATGTGTGGGCCACAATGCAGGGCGATATCACTCAAGGCCAACTGATGTATTTTAATTGGTACAACTGTCAACTTTCAGGTCTTAAATACTGGTCAGTGCACTAGGGAATAACCCAGTGTTTTGCATTATGTTTTGCAAAAGGGGGAGGAAAGAGGGAGGAGAAAAAATTTGGGGGGGGGGGGGGTTGGGGGTTTTTTTTCTTGTTCAAAAAAGAGCTACTATGAGATGATTTCAAATGGGAAGAAAAGATACTCCCTGGAGAAGAGTCTGTATTAATGGGCATTCATGGAGCCATAGTATACAGCTCCAAAAGAGCAAATGCCCATGCATATTGGGCGAGATTGATTTAGCAATAAGAGGGCCTGATGTAATACTTCATCAATTTCACTGTTACCCTCATGATATTCCATTGATATCAGCCAAATTAACCTAGCATCATGATACTGTATCAGAGCAGTAGCGAATGCCATTTCATTTTCAGTATAGTATACATGTATATTTTCAGTTTCCAGTGAAGCTGGGCTCTGAAGTGTCTGCCCTGAGCCCAGACTGTACTTGCTGTATGGTGAGACCTTGTGATTGACAGTGGCTGGGAATCAGTCTGTGTGTCTTGAAAAGAATATGAGAGCAGCTCTGAAGAGGCTGGTCTCTGACAGATATAAAGGAAAATTTCTGCAAGTACCAAACATCTGCAGCTTCCAACCAGCCTGTGAGTTCAGGACATTATGAGAGTTCAATATTGAGGACAGTAAAAGGGGAACTGATATGTCGTTCAGCTGACATCTCTGTATCATCTTTATGTTGTGGTAATTCTTTCAATCTGTTGTTGGTGTGGGTTTTTTTAAAGTTGAAATCTTTGATGCGGCCACCGAAGTCGGTGAGAGACAGACAGGACCAAGTGAAGGAGACAATTCCTGCAACCAGACCCAGTAAACACATTGCCAACTGGAACACAGCAGGGAAAACACAACACATCTCGTCATTGGGCTCCACTGAGCCTTCAGGCTCAAGTCTGCCTCCAGACCCTGCCCTGAAGGAATGGAAGCAGGTAGGTGAAACCAAAGACACACTGATACCAGCACCCCTCTCTCTCCCCTGCACAAACCCGGCAGGTGCTCTGGTCAGGCAGTATGTTTGTCTGAGGGACTGTCTCTTAATAAGAAACCCATCATTCTTGGGAGTATACTAGCCAGCTGTTAGTTCTTTGGATGCTTTTTGTAGACCTGGTAGTAAAGGCTTGTGATTTCATACCTTACAAGTACAATTTACCCAGTGTTTTTTCTTAGCCATTAGGTTAGTGGTAACTTGGCAGCGCTAAGTTAATGGTTGGACTCGATGATCTTAAAGGTCTCTTCCAACCAAAACGATCCTATGAGGAGGAAACTGCTCGGTATGAGATGTGTTTGCATGCCCTCATGTGGCTGCATCTGTTGGTACACGTGTGGTTGTCAGTTTAGGTCAGACTTTGCAAATAAGAGAGCACCTTGTTTTGGCTGTGGTTTTGGCAGCTGAATGCTGACACTGTCCAAAAAATCCCCAACTCCTGAGACCTACCAGCTGATTACTCAAGAGTAGGAATTTTTTATCCTCTGGCTATTCATTGCCTCTTGAATATTAGAGGCAATACGGAGCTCTTGTCATGCTGTAATTTAATAAATTGTGACAATTTGAAAAGCTTAATTTGCACAGCAATTTAGAAGCTCAAAATTGAGTTGTGTATAAGTTTATTTTTCTGATCCTCTCTTCAGACAGCTGCTTTAAGGGGCACACACTTTTGTTTTGCTTCTTGGGAAGCAAATCTGAAAATGTGATTTCCCAAGATACATATCTGACCTACAAACTAATGTAATGAGCACAAGCAATCCCTCAAATCTGACACTCCCCCAGCTAACCAAGCCTCTACTGAGCCACACTCACAAATGTGAAATGGAATATGTTAGTGTAAACCTGGTCCAGTGAGGTTTAAACAAACACAGTTTGCCTAATGTCTGCTACTGACTAGAATTAGGTTAGGTGACTTTAAACCATGATAATTCTTCTTGTCTGTGAAGTCTTGTTTTGAAACATGAGCTAACCTAAGATAATAAAACCAAAGGCAACTCTTGTCATATTTAGAGCATGCACTCCCAAGCTTAGTATAGGTAAAAGCACTGACTCATCTGGTTATCAGGTCTGTGCTGGGAAATAGCAAATGCCTCCCACACCTACATGCAAAAAAGGCAGCTATTGCTCTCTTCGAAATAGCCCAGGTACCAGGTACCATTCCTGATGCACCTACCCGGGTCTGGAAACATCAGCTGTAAAAGGAGGTGCATTTCTGAAATAATGTCTCATCTGAAAAAGTTATCCAAAATCTAGATAATGTCTCTTAAGAAAAGTAGAACAAAAGTTTCAGCCCAAAAGAGTGCCCTGATGAAAGGAAGGAAGAAATCATGAGACCTACTTGTTAGCTCAGGTGTGTTTTCTCCCTGTACTCTGGGGTTTTTGCCATGGCCAGTGCTTTAGACAGCCATAGCCTGTCAGTCCTCATCAACTACCAGTCCTCACTTGCTTGAGTTTGCTATTTACAGATCCTTGACATTCTCTGGAGTGATCCAAGAAGCCAGAATGGCTGTACACCAAACAAGTGTCGAGGAGGAGGTTGTTACTTTGGCCCTGACGTCACTGCCAAGCTGTTTGAAAAGTATAATCTGAAGATGCTCATCAGGTCTCATGAATTTAAGCCGGAAGGTTATGAGATTAGTCACGATGGAAAGGTAAGGTGCTTCCATGTAAAGTAGAGTTGTCCTGTGAATTTCACAGGAAATGTGAAATTCACGGTAGATTTGTCTGCAAAGTTAATTAAAAAAAAATGAGTGCCTTCTTTAAAATGGGTTTGAGGGAATTGTGTGCTAAATAGAGGTTAGAACAAATTATGGAGTTCTGACAAACAAAATTCTTTACAACTTCGGGGAGTGGGGACTGGCTTATTACTCATATGAAAACAAATGAACATCAACAAAATCCTTGAGGAGACTTATGTGTAAATACAGTGCAATAGATGCTCTAAGGCTCTAGAAGCCTTTTAACTTAATCACTTCTCTTTGGCCCTGCTTTCTGACATACTGGATCAGGAGACCAGCAAGAATCCTGAAAACCAGGTCTGTCTTAGAAAGAGGTTTCTGTTAAACAGCATGTTAAACCGCATTGCCCTCTGAACCGAAGCCTTCCTGTGACAGCTTGAAAATACAGGCCTGGAGCTCTGACTCGAAAAGTGCGAGCAATTTGGTGAACAACATAGTTGTTCATCTCTGGTTTTATGTGTGGACAATTTTGTAACCTGCATGTTTTTCTAGGATCAGCTTCAGACATCAGTCTCAGGAAGAGTTGTTCTAGCCAATCCAGTTTCTTTGTTTCCTATGATCAGGTTATCACCATATTTTCTGCCTCTAACTATTATGAAGAGGGGAGCAACCGGGGAGCGTACATCAAACTGAATCCTGAACTGATTCCTCGGTTTGTGCAGTATCGAGTCAGCAAGTACACACGCAGGCAGAATCTTCGGGAGAGGTAAGGCTGCACGTTGTATGCAGTGAGCGTGTACTCCCTCAGCATGCGAGTACCTGTCACAAATCTATAGCCTGACTGAATAACTGACTAGGTATCTATTTGCCTTGGGTTTCCTTGTTTTTCTGTTTTCAATTTAAAAATTAATACAGTAGACAAAACATGTTCTAAGTCGTCTAACTTGGTTTCCTGAGAAATTCCCAAAGGTAATTAGATGCAGTAAGCGGTTAGAACAGACAATTGCCAGGGACTCCTAAAGGGCCTGCGCCTGTCTGTCAGGGCTGTTTTAGGGCTGCAGTGCTAATCTGGACAAATCCTGTTATGAATTGAGTCCAAAAAGTTTATCATGACAGCTTTGCCATACCCAGCACTGTAGTCAGATTTACTAAAGCAAAGCAGCTTAGAATTACCTGCATAAACTCAATTATCTCATAAATTCAGATTATTCTTATGGGGCTTTTTTTGTTTTGTTGGTTTTGAGGTTTTTTCCCCCCCCGTGTTGTCTTTTAGGATGACCTGAAACATAGTACGTGTTACAGGATATAAGAATTTGGTAATGAATGCTGAAAAGCATAAAATACTAGAGGATTTAAATTCTTTAATGATCTGCTTTGCATTTTTTTCCTCCTAGGGTGGGTACAATTGAATCATCTGCCCTAAAGTCCTTACGAGAGAAGATTTATGCCCACAGGTCTGAACTCACTAGTGCTTTTGCACAGTATGACCTCAACGGCACAGGTAACACCACTACTGCTCTGTCCAGTTGCCACTGTGTGTGCGTGGGGGCAGAGGAGACAAACCCCATGGAGAGGGGTCCTGCTTGCCAGTGTAAGGCTGGAGGGCAGCAGAGGCTGGTGGATCTTATGTTCTTCCTGCCCACGGAGGAGGGTAGGTGTTAGCAGGTGCTTAGCCCCAGAAACCAACTTGTGGGGATGAAGCTTTAAGTGGGAAGACGAAAACAACTGAAACGCATGGGCAAATAAGGAAATAGTGTTTGTTGTTGGGAAGAAAGTTTGGGCAGGCAAATCCAGCTCCAGCAGCTCAAAGGTGATCACTATCACTTAGGAGTGTCTTCTGACATCAGACAGGGAATTGGGTCTCAGGTGTGGGGGAACTGGTCTGCTTCTGACTCTGGGAGATATTTGAGTAAAGTTGACTGACTCTGGTGCTAGGGCACCCGTGCTCACCCATCAGCTGATGAAAAGTCAGTGGTAAGTTGATACATGAACCTTCTATGTAGGAGCAAGGAGTTTGTTGTTTCTAGCACAAGTGCAACTTTTTTTCATGACAGCTTCTGACTTGACTGGGTTGTCATCAGTGCCCCTAAAACGGCAATCAATAAGTGATTGTACTGTTTTTTTGGCCACTGAACAACCGTTTAACTTATTTCTGTCTTGTAGGGTTTTCAGCGACATAGGTTTCTATAGTTGCAGCTCAGCTCAAATCTGAAGTACTCTTCATGGCATAATCTGGTTTTCTCAAAAGGCATTAACACATGCTGAACATCATGATAGAACTGCAACGTTGTTGAGGTTGGAAGGGACATGTGGAAATGTCTAGACCAACCCCGCTGCTCATTGCTATGAGAGTTTTTATCCCAGGGTTAGGAGAAAATGTTTATGTTAACTGGTCTTAAAAATGGCAGAAGGCTTGCTGGTGAACTTGTAACCATAAACTGACCCCTTCTGGCAGGCAAAATTTCTGTCAATGACTGGGTTGCAGCGATGGAGTCTGTCCTACAGCTGGATCTGCCCTGGAGGATGCTGCGGTCTCAGTTAGCACAGATGAACCCAGATGGAGAAGTTGACTTCATGTCATGTTTTTACGATTTGAAAATAGGTCAACCTGTAAAAGAGGTAAGGAGCAAAATGCCTTCTTGCAAATCTTGGAGGAACAGCTTTTGGTGCAACTTGAGGCACAGGACAGTGGTTTGGCCAATCAGGTAGATATCTACAGCTGAACTAGTTGCTGAGCTTCCTTTTATAGTCACTGGAGGGAAACGAGCACTGCTAGGGGACGAATCATCATTCCCTGCTAAGGTAGATGCCTAAAATAGGTTGGATGAATCACATGCTAGAACTGCTTCTTACTTTCCATTGACTCGCAAGGGCGTTTAGATAACATAGCTGAGGAGATGTGACAAATCCTACCCAGAGCACTCAACCCTCACTCTTTGAGATGAGCTTTTCAAAAGTGCTCCACAGCCAATTCAGGCACCTGTAGGAAGAAGTCACATTTGTAGATGGACTTCTAGATGTTTAGTGGTAGCTGAGGTCTCTTCTAGAGTCCAGTTGTGACCGAGTGGCTGCATAGTGCTTTGGTACTTGGCTGTCTCGATCATTTTTCTAAACAGCAGGATCCTCACATATGTACAGCGAAAGCTCTGTATGACCACATGGCATACAGCATCTTCCCTAGATTATCCACATTTCCGCAAAAAATTACTGAAGGTAGGAGGTGTGAAGGACTCCTCCCCTTCCCCCCACTCCCTACCCCCCACCCCGCCATTTGAAAGTGACAGGTTTTAGCTGATTATTCCTCAGGGCAAGACACAAAGTATCATTCCAGGGAACTCAAGTATAAGGATTAAAAAAAAAAACCCACGAAACATTTGACAAGTTAAACTGGGAAAACAGATTTGGATAGTATAGATTCTGTTGGTTAGATCAACTCAAACCAAGGTCTGAATGGTTTCCTGTATGCGATTTCAAAACCAGGTTCAGCCAGCCTTGGTGGAAACACTGTGCAGATACAGGAAGGATCTGGAGATCATCTTTAACATCATTGACAAAGATCACTCAGGTAAGTCGAGGTACCTTCACTGTGCCAGCTCTAGGAAGCCTATACTAGTTGCCTTTCCCCACTGTGTTTCCTCCTTAAGGCTTCTAAATATAGAGGAACCAGAGGTGATGTCATTTTTCCAGTTTAGTGCAGACTAATTTAAGCAGTCAGGCTGTAACCATATAAGGGACAGTGCACAGAGCCTAACTTGAGAAAAAAATTCTCGCACATCCTGTCTCCAGTACTGGCTTCACTCTTTTGGGGGCATTTTCTCCCTTCCACTCTCACTCTCAGTATTTGCCTCTTTCTCAATTCCACTGTTGAAAGCATTAGATCGTTACCTGAAGTAAAAACGTACTTCGGCCCTGAAATCACAAAACACACCCAAGCCATGGCAGGCAGGGAACTTCCTTGCAGTGAAGGAGTGTGCGTACCGGCATGCGTGTGCATATGCAGGGAGGGGAAATGCCACTGGAGAAAGCAATCTGCTGTTTGTCTCCTTTAGGTCTGATTTCTCTTGAGGAGTTTGGCCAGACATGGAAACTCTTCACTTCTCACCTGGGCATCGACGTGCATGATGAATCCATTGACAAGTTAGTCCTCAGCATAGACTACAACAAAGATGGCCACATTGACTTCAATGAATTTTTAGAGGCCTTTCACGTGGTTCATAGACTAGAGAAAAAGGCAAACTCATGAAAAGGCAGAACTTCTTGTGGGCTGTCTTGGAAGCTCACCTTCCTGTCCTTAGTCATAAGCAGTCTGGGAGACCAATTTCCAGCCTGGCAAACAATAAACGGGCCGCTCGATACGGTAAGCACTGCCGTCACTGTGTAAGCCTTTATTTAGTCCCTTCTGGACTCCTCCTGACATAGACCGGCTAGTAATGAGACAAGAGATGAAAACCCACTACTTATACTATGACCGTGTCACTGCCACATCAGTACCTTACAATTTATCCTCCCCCTTGGTGGCATCTCCCCCATCAATCATCTTACCTGTGAATACTGCCAAGGTCGCACCTACAAGCCAATGGGAAGAGAAACTTTGGTCCATTTCTTTCAGCAGTTCTCAGCGACAGCTGAGAAATGGCATTGATGGCCATGAGGAACATATCAGAGCCTCCCTGACGATGGAACAGGCAGGACAGAGGTCTTCTGTGGACTATCCAATCCAGGAGAGGAAAATAGGAAAGAACCATCTAGTTAAAAATAGGTAGTTCTGCATTTAATCTTGCTCTTTGCATGATGCAGTGAAATCTAAGCATTCCAGGTCACTATCTATCCTTGAAGTTTACAGGCACAACCTAAAAGGATCTCGGTTGAAAGGTGTTTGTTTACACTTGCACTAGATTTGCTCTTGCCACTGGTTACTTTTCCCCTACATTTGTTGGGGTTGGGAGCTTAGAAACCATCATAACTTGTCCCCTTAATGAAGGCTAAATCCATAGCATGGTAATGTAACGCACGATAGAGCACATAATAAAGCTTTCGCCTTCACAATAATGTGTAAGTGTGATGTCTTTTTTTGCCTACACATACCAGAGTACAATACTCTTTTCCTGAAGATGAACTGGATTTCTTTAAAATGAAAGAAATGAGTAAGAACACAAAAGTAAACAAATTCTGATACTACTGAACCTAAATATTCTTGCATATAGTTAAGCATAAATTCTTCACCAAGTAAAGTAAACTGAGAAATTCTGAAATTGAGTTTTTAGAACACAGCAAGGTAGAAGAGTGCAGTGCCCCTGGCCTCCCCCAAACTGCAACCCAGTGTTCCCATTCCTGCAAGTGCCGCCCCATCCGCTCCTGTGCGGGATGGCAGGGAGATCTGGACCCAATTCTCTTGCATATGACACTCTGAAAGCAACACACCTGTATCAAGGGAAGTGTGGACAGGTCAGGAGCTGGTTGAAGACAGTATTACCTAATTCAGCCTTAGTAAATACAGTGTTCACAATTTGCTTTTTGGGCTGGAAAAGGTTCCAGCCATGCCTGTCTTGAAATTTTAATAACGAAAAGAGCTAAGTAAAGTAGCTGGGTTTTATTTATGTATGTACAGGGGGGAAAAAAAAAAAAAAAAAAAAAAAAAAAGCATCTTTCCCAGTTTATCATCGCAGAATGGAGCAGCTGCCCCACCTTAAGGTACTGCTGTCTTTCTTAAATCTTTTTTCTACAATTAAATACAAAATACTTTTCCAGAAGTATTTTGTAAGTTGACAGATGAATGAATAAAGATGCACACACTTAGTTCTGTTGCCCACAGGGGAGAAAGAAAAATCTTTAATAGTGCAAACAAAATTTACAGTAAAATTTTAATGGCATTGGTAATACTGAACGTGTAATTTTAGCATGCATTTTTATTCTGCACTGCAAGCATCGGTCCCACCTTATTCCAGTGGAGTGACAGAAAGGCTCCACCTAAGATGGCCAAACACCTCAGTGTGTGGCGGGATCTCGCTTCCCACTATCAGCCTCCTTGCTGTGGGCACCAAGCAACAAGGTGGAATGGGATAGCGCAGCTCTGGAGTCCTCCTTTGTCATGACCCCACCACCCCCACCCCCTCCAGAGAAGAGGACAAAGCCAGGCTGTGCAGTAAGATGAGGGAGCTCAGAAACATGGCCAACAGCCACCAGCTTCGATGTCCCCCTCTAAGGACATGCTCCTGAAGCTACCCAACGTGAAGCTGCAGGATGCCCGCCTGGAGGGATCGCTTCATGAGAGGAGCCATAAAGGTAAGGAGGCAACACAGCGTGTCCCTCAGCAGGCGGAGAGAAGAGGCTTTCAGGGATGCAGTACTGAAGTGTGAGAGGAGCTGAGTCATGGAGCCAAAAAAGAAGCGAGCCTGCCCTGTCAGCTGCTAGCGGCACACAACGGGCCCTTCCTTACCCCTCACAGAAGAAGGGGGGCGGCAGGGGGAGTAACTGTGAAACATCTAACGCCAGGAATAAAAGCCACTCGAGACTAAAACTGGAAGTGGGAGAGAGCCCGGCTATTTGTACTTCAATCCAAACTGTTCGAGCTGAAGCTTTCCTTCCATAACCCCCACCCTCAATCTCTTTTTTTTTTTTTTTTTTTTTTAATCCCTGTATTTTTGCAGCAGCTACTTAGTATTACAGCTGTGAGCGGTCCTTTGAGCAGGGACTGAATTAGCCTGCAGCCGCGTGCCCAAGCTCTTGCCCTACAGGTACAGATGCCACCAGTGCTGGCATGTTTCTTTCTCCCACTTTCTGTGCAACCCCGCTCCTACCTCCAGACCACACCAGGAAGTACCCGGTGTTGGAGCTGGACTGACCCAGGCTCCCGGTTCGCCCAAGCCCCTGGCTGCTGCCAGAGGGGTGACACAGCTGCACAGTGCCCCGTGCCTGCAGGGCTGCAGCCCAGGTGATTTGCTACCCGCCACTGAAAGCGACCGCCTTGTTTTAGGACTGGTAGGGGCTGCGCAGCTCCCCCTCACCTCCCAGGAACAAGGAGGGCTCCTTCCCTGAGGAAGGAGACCACAATTAGCAGGACAAAAGCCAGAGAGATTGTGTACTGCAACCATTGAGTTTTCACATCTACTTGTAGGAGCAGCAGCCGAGGGGGATCACTGCCACTTTTGATCTGTCTCATTTGACAAAGTTGTGTCCTTCGCGCAGCATCAGGGAGAAGGGAAAAGGCGCGAGGCAGCGAGCAGGGAGGGTGCTGGCCTGCAGGAGCTGGGCTGGGGCCAGCAGGCGGTGCGTGCTCAGAGCTGGACACAGCTAATTATTCTGGCCAGTGCCCCCCACCAGCGCTGTCTCTGTTTGCAGGCACACCTGGCTGCCCCCCAGAGCTCTGTAGGTGCTTCTGTCCCCACAGCTGCAAACTGCTTAGGGCAGCAGTGCCTACCAGGCTGGAAAGACCAGACCGGGTCTCAGGGGGGTCTATTTTAATTCCTTAATGTCCTTGTTTCCGAGACACAGAATGTGTCTGTTTACCTTTGCCTCCTTTCAGTAAATGAGCTTTCAGGGACTCAGAGTTGGCCGTGCCATCCTCTGCTGGCTCCCCTGGGCAGCCTGACAGCCAAGTCGAGCCTCTGCCAATTAGCTCATCCCCGCACAAACTGCTAAGTCGTCAGGTATTCTAAACTGGGAGCACACCCTCGCCACTGCCAATGCACACACACGCACACACACACTTACTTTGCTGGATCCTCAGCAAAGCAGGGGGTCTATATAAAACCTTATTTGCTTAATTAGGCTTGCACTAAAATGCGACTTTCCAATTGGAATAGTTCTTGGGTCTGAAAAGTAACACTGCAGCAGGTTACAACTGTGCCCGACCTGGAAGTAACACCAGTTTCCCTTCCATTGGCCTGGCGCTTCAGAATCCCACCCTTCACCACCAGCTACCTAAACTCTTCAAATTACCACATAAATACTCTCCAATAATCAATCGTGATGATCATGAATATACCAAACCCAAAGTCATACTATGAATTTCAAATCAAAGACACCCATTAAAAAAAACATGTTAAGGGGTATCCAGGTATGTCTGGCCGTAGACTCGATTGCTTTAGACTTCAGTGCAGCTGCATGGAAAACCAACTACATCACCCTTCTTGTTTCTAAAACAAGATCACACTCTAGGTGAAAAAAAAACAAAACCAAAAAAACTAAGAGTCTGAGGGAAAACCATCTTGCATCTCTCACAATCTAGGATTCAACAAGAAAAGCAAAAATAACTGCTACTGCTGACTTTTCGTATGATACCGATAGAACAAGAAACCATCACAGTGGCTCTTGTGTGCTCACGCTCTGCACTGTCCCATCTGGCTGCTTAAACCAGACAAGGGATTTTACTTTCATTTACTGGGAAACAAGCCAAGTGATCTCTCACAATACATATGAAAAGGAAAAAAAAAAAGGCAAAAAATATAATGAAGGCAAAACCCTACAGAACCGGCACCATGCCAACACAATGACTTCCACATCCAAGTGCTATCTGTACCTGAACCGCACCTTTATACCAGCCCCTCGGCAGTTTTCAAGGTGGTTAACACAGCTCGTGCCTCCCTCCGAGCATCCAGCCCAAGGGCTCCCAGGCCTTTGGGCTGCCAAACTCTCCTGGTCTCTGCAAAAACATGAGAGTCTAAGGCCTCCCACATCTTCACTCTCTTGAGCCAGTGTCCAGACGTTGCTACAGCAGCAGCGACTCTGTGGAGGGACAGCAGCCGTGGCGGCACGGCCATCAGGAGAGTAGCCTCCCTGGGACCGCAGGGGCTGGTGACTGGCAAGTGAGACAAGGGGTTCACTTCCCTCCTTTCAAAGTATTTCAGGTATCTGTATAAAACTGGAACCAAAGCCTTTGTCCTTAAAAGCACCACATAATATTGTTACAAATAAAAAAAAAAAAAAGTTTTCAAATCCTGTAAAAGTGGCCTGGTTACGTTTTGAAACGTAACAGGGGAATTTTGAAATGAGGGGAATTTTACAGAAATATCCGTATCAGACTTATTAGCACAGAAAATTCTTAATTTTTTCAGGCCATATCTACTCTTTTCCCCTCTACCTGGCAAGGCAGAACAGCTCTGATCCTCTCTGCTGGCACAGCAGCAGTGCCAGCACAGCTCCACACTGCCGAGGGAGCCTGTGGCCACGGGAGAGGCTAAAGCTACAGCTGTCAGCCAGATGCGTGCTGGCTGGTGGCAAAACCAGCAGTGCCAGCACAAGGAA